GTGAACTTAACCACCACACAACCGGGCTGGCCCTGGTATTTTGAATTTCTAGAAGGGATTTCAGAGAACCCTGAGGCATCCAGACTATGAATGCAGAAATCCTCTTTACAACATCCCTGACAGCTTCTGCTTGGACACCTCTAGCAATAGAGAACTCATTAACTTGACATGGACACAACTGAAAGCTTCTAATGGTTGGAAAGTTCTTCCTTATGTTGAATCCCAATCTCTCCCTTTAGCTTGTACCCATGGGTTCTAGTTCTGTCTTGCAGTGCCTACACAGGCCAAGTCTGTTTCTTCTTCCCAGTGACAAACTATCATAGATTTTTAGATGACTTTCAAGGCTCATTCTCAGTCTTGTCTTTTCCAAGTTAAACATTCTTGGAAATATTCCCATCATCTAAGCACAACATGTGACAATACTTACCACTTTGAGCTCTTGACCTTTCTAAAAGTTACTTATAGAACAATGGAAAGTGTATTAGACTTGGAGCAAAAGGATGAGTTGATGACTGCTGTGCCATAGGACCTAGGATCAGTTATTTCAGCTCTCTGAGTCACAGTCCTTATCAACTTGAAAAAATGGAAATGGAAGTGACCTCACTTGACAGAACTGAAGTGAGGGTCATGTCAGAATATATGTGAGAGGAAACATGGCCTGGTGGCAAGGGCACAGACATTCATATTAAAGACTGCAGGCCTCAAATCTAGTCTCATTTTTTCATCATAAGCCAGTCACTTGTCATCTCAGAGTTGTTAATACATTTTTTAAATCGAAGTAATATCCAGGCCCATGCATAATATTTGGGGGCTCAGGGCAAAAACTAAAATGGAAGCCCATGTACTGTATGTCTATGATTTATTTAGTCCAGCTACTCAAAATTTATAGCTAATTCACTTTTAAATAAAATTATATCCTCCCACTTTGGCAAATATAGCTTCATTGCAACATGAAAGTCCAGATTGAAATTTAAAATTCTCAGACTCCTCAGAGTTCCTTGCTAGAATGTAGTCACATGCGAGAGGTTGGTGCCAGGGAAGTGCTCCCTCTCCTGGCCTGCAGTCTCTCCTCTCTCCACCCCCAGTTCTGGCATGCCTCATGAAGAGCTTTGTGCACATGGACCTGCCTCCCAAAGCTTGTATGTCCAAACATCACTTAAGCCCGGTCAAACAGTCACCCCTAGGTCACATCTTCAGATGAAGGGTGTGCCAACCAGCAACACAGGCTGCCTTGAAGGAATGGACCTGAGGAAGAAGTTTACATAGGCCCTGTAAGTGGGATCAGGTCTGCTTGGAAAGGCAATTCAGAGCTTCAGTGTTCCATGGTATAGTCTAGAAGGAGATTATAAATTGTTCAGGACAGAGATTTTTCACCTACAAGCTCCTAGCACTATGGGGAGAGGCATGGCTAGAGAAAAGCCAGAAAGAAGCCCTCTAAAACTTGGGGGTCCAGGGCAAAGGAGACTGCTTTTGCAAATATTTAAAGATGGTACCAGTGATACCTACTTTTCAAAACTATTATAAGGATTAACAGACAACATATGAAAGGGATGTGCCCAGAACATGTAACAATGTTAAATTATATAAATGTTGTTGCTGCTGTTATTATTATTATTATTATTAGAATATGCTTGGAAAACCATTAAGTGCTACAGGAACATGGGTAGTATTTGGTAATGCTGACTCCTTTGAGCCTTATAAGACCTTTTCATTGATTACTATATCAAGGAGAGTCCACATTTGTCATGAATGTGAGTTTGAAGAAGCTCTTCTGGGCTTATGTGTTTTAAAATCAAGACCAGCCATATTGGGGGTATCCCTGAGGGGTCTGAGGTCTTATATCACTATTTCTACTTTCTGGCTCCAAGTCTTTTTTTGCTAAATGAAGCCTTCTCACAGCTCAGCAAATGTTTCCACCATGCTTTTACCATCTCAGATCACTAATAGATGATTTAACAATCAAAATGAATTGTCTTGCTTGAATATAATGCAAGTACAGGTGACTCAGCAGACACCACTACATCACTTGTCTTGACTCCACCTCACTGCCCTTGGTCATCTCAACCCCAAGAGAACAGCACTTGCCTCTTGTCCCTTTGTCCTTGCTTTTGCCTTCCTCTTCAGGGTATATCTCCCTTTCACTGTTGCCCTTACCTGTGCCCCAGGCAACAACAGCCCCATGACCATCTTCGGCCCAGAGAATTCTGAGATACTGTCACCTCACAGATGGGCGGATATACTTTTCACCTGGAAGATGGTTGTGACAATGCCTTTTTAGGACTATCAAGAAATCGTAGAATCACAGAATCTCAGAGCTTGCAAAAGACAGAATCTTTTTCTTCAATTTTCCATTCAGAGAAGAATCTTATCCATATCCCTGAGAGATTGTCATTCAACTTTTGCTTCTGTCTGGATAGCTCTGAAGATAGGGAAACTGGGACTCAAAAAGGCAGCCTGTTTCATTGTTAGGCACCTTGAGTTTTCAGAAAATTGTTTTCTCACCATCTTTTAACCAACGTTTATCAGTGTATCATGTACCCAGCACTGGGCTGGGGCCCAAGATGCAATGATGAGTAAGATCATCCTTATCCTCAATGAACTCTTTATGTTGAACCAAAATGCCGATTAATAGAGTGGTTAAGTTAGTGAGTTCTGGAGTCAAATTTCCCAGGCTTGAATTCCGCCAAAAATACAAAATTTCAGCTGTAAGATGGATAAAGCGTGAGGAGCTAATAATGTAAAACACAGCGACTACAGTTGATCACACTGCGTTGTATAATTGAAATTAGCTAAGAGAGAAGAACTTAAATGTTCTCATACACACACAAAAAATAGATAAATATGTGAGGTGATGGGTATGTTAACTAACTAGATGGGAGGAATCCTTTCCCAATGTATACGTATATCAAATCATCACAAAGTACATTTTAAATATCTTACCATTTGATTTGTCAATTATACCTCAATAAAGCTGAAAAAAAATTTATTATCTGTGTGTTCTTGAAGAAATTCCCCCACTATTTTTTTACCTCAGTTTTCTCACCTGTGGAGTGGAGATACTAATAGTACTAACTGACAGAGTTTTCATGAGGAATAATGTAAATGTTCGCTATTATTAGTCCTATTCTCTGTCTGGAGACATAGAAAACAAGTTTCTTCTTCTACTGCTTGAAAGCCCTAAGGAACTTAAGGACACTCATGTCTTCCTGAATCTTCAATTTTCCGTAGCAAATCATCCCAGTTCTTTTATCCATTCATGGGATTTGGTATCCAGATCCTTTACCACCCTGGTCTCCCTACAGAGTCCCACTTCAAGTGTGATATCTAGAACTTAACATAGTAGCCCCAACTCTGGTCTGACTAGAGGATCTTTTCCTAAGTGTTCTGTACCTTATGCCTTAAAATCTAATAAAAAGGACCCTTGGGGTCTTTTAGGGTGGCTGTTTGTTTCAAAGGTGGAAAACTGAAGCCCTGAAATAAAGCAGGACTTTCTTGTCCCATGAAGTACTACCAGCAGAGACGGAAGAAGAACTCGGGTCTCTTGACTCAGTTTTGCTTTTTATTCCACTGCTTTTGTCAAAGAAAAACCAGACCTAGAAAGTGGTTAAAGTGGTAAAAACAGATTTTGTTCAGGAATATTGCAATAGGGGAAAAGAGACCTCAGTATAGAAATGGACTCAATTTTGAAGGCACCATGGGCAAGTGGGACTTTATAGCCAAGGACGAGGGCAGGGGGCAGTGGATGAAAAATTCCTTAGAGGAAACATCACGGGTAAGGGGGATTCTGGCTAAACTGATCTAACAGGATTCTTGCGGAAGGCAGGCCAAGGTGATCAGACATCACCTGGGGCATGGTGGAGGATAAGGAACCTGATCAGATATTTAAGGTGATCAGATATCACAGAGGCACAGGGGATTCTGATCAAACTGATTTGGCAGGGTCCTTGCCAAAACTAGATTTTACAAGGAATTACACAGACAGACCTAAAAGAAAGTTCACGAGCCTGACTAAAGTTTAGTCACAAATCTTTGTCACTCTATGGAAAGAATTGTCTGTTCTAAGACTGTCCATCTTTCTTATTCAGACTCTAGCACTGAGAAGAATCTGGTGTCCCTGGGAAATCTGAGAACTGGTGGTACTTTTTCAATAAGACTTCCTTCCTTAAGAGTTGGGCCTAATTTTCTCATGTCTTTGTTTTGGTAACAATATGTTCTAAGCCCCACGCACCTGGTCGTAACACAACCTACAGTATAGAGTTACTGATTTTTTATGATCTCCAGGCCCCCTCCCTGTTATGCAAGCTAGATATTATCATAGAAGTCACACATAATGGACTTGAGTTTCCATGTATGCCTCCTGGTTATTTCTTTACGTTTTATGTTAAATATGAGATAGTAGATGCTATGATTACAGAATTAGGACTAGGGATAGTAATAATAAAGGATAAAGAGATTGTCTAACAGAATAATTGCCTTTAAGGAGTATGGGAGGAAAGGACCCCAAAAATTAGCCCTTTAGTATAAAATTGTGGTCTCTTAACCCATTGGTTCCCAGCTAAAAAGGTGAATTAGACTCTACTATGCAATTTAAGTGTGTGTGTATGTGTGTGTGTGTTTTATATGTCTGAGTCACACTCTGGATCAGAATCTTTGGGTTGAGGGGAGCAGGTGTTGAAGGCAGACAAGTAAATTTTGAAAAAGTTCCCCAGAATTACTCATTCCCAATTCATCTTTTTCACATTTGTTTCTTCTTGCTAGTTAAAAAAAAATAGAATGCATTTCTACAGAACTGAATAATAACTTAACAATAAAAAAAAAAACAATGTTAAATCATGCCATCATGCTACACTTTGACAGCCTGTTAAGAATGAAATATTTTCCCTTCAATGTCTTCTTGGTCTTTGGTGACGTGCTGACTTCGCCCTTGGTGTCACATGTAAACAGACCAGTTGCAAAGTGACTTCATAATGGGGTCTGAAGTTCTCACAATGGGGCCATAGGCCTCAGTTCATCAAGAGAATGAGCCTTTGAGGATTTGCTAGGAAACTCTTGACTGAAGGGAGGCCGGTGGATGAATCACTTTGTTTCTTATGGAAAAGATGAAAACTTTCTTTGTGGTTATCTTGGCTACTGACTATTTCTTACGTAAGAATTTGTCAAAGAACCTTGGGGAGGGAGTAAACATTTGATCTTCCAAGGGAAGGAATAAGCCAACAATAACTGTTTTCTAGTTGTAGAGATTTTTGAAAGTTTGAAGTTTCTTTTGGAGATAAAGCAATCATTACCCTAACTAAAATGAATGTCTAAAACTAAAATGAATGGTTGAATACGTTTTTTTAATATTCTAAGAACTCTGCCATAGACGAGTTCTGACTTGAGATTTTGTAAGGGATGATCTATGAAGGGTGTAACCAATATTTGACAAATAATTTGGCCTTTAGAATTGATAACCAATTCCGTTTCATCTCCCTCTTCTTCCTAATACTTTCCCCCACACACTGGTATTCTTTATGTGTGCACACACACAAATTCCTTCTATACAAAGCAGTGTCAGCTTCTGACACGGCTTACTATTAGAGCACAACCCAATCTTATCAAATCTCAAGAGAGGGCTCAGCTCTTCCTGATTAACTCCAGCAAAATGATACCAACAAGAGAAGCCCATGATGTAAAACTAAATCTGCTGGCAGGATGGCACAAGTAGACGGGAGGCCGGGAGGAGGCTCAGTTGCAGCAGCTGAAAGAAGTCAAGGCTGTGAAGTAGAACATAAAATATGAAGGTAATAGGAATCAGTAACAGTTTGGGTAAGCAATTGTTGACACAGAGATCAAATAAAGGAAGAGGCTTCCTTGGAAACAGAGTTTGGAAAAAGAGTATATCTAAGACAGACAATAATCAAAAATGAAGGCAGGTTCTGTCAGCAGGTAGCCAAGATGACTATCGTGAGCTAGACATTTCTCTAAAATGGTTCTACACAAAGTCTAAGCAGCCCAGCAGTGGATGACATGCTGAGCTCCAGAGGATGAAGCTTGAGTTCAAATCTCTCTTGCCTAAGGTCAGCATGAAACCTAGGAATGGTCTAAGGTTGAATTCTCAGGTGGGACATTGTGTCCTAGGTATGAGGAGAGGAAGGAAATAGTATTTGAGAATCAGGCATGGCAAGACAAACCTTGTGTGAAAGAGCCACATGTTTTTCGATGACTTTCATGGTTATCAGTTTATATGTGATTACTTAATTGGGTAATTAACTGTTCATATTTCAACACTACATTGTTTGATCCTTTTTTCTAAACATTTTTGTTTCAGATATTTCTGGTAACAATCCATATGCGGTAAGTTTTCTACTTTTTGCATAAGAAAACTTTTCCAATATGAGGTTTACAGTATTTCTATTAGGTTGAACCATATTAAACCCTATGAAACCTCTAATCTTCGACCATAATTGCGAAATGGCAATTCACATGGTCCAATCTAAACCACTTTGTCAAAATAGATCCTGGGGAAAGCCAAGACTCATTCCTGTCTCTTACTGCTCCTTCATCTCCTTATATACTGCCATCAATTAAACCTCCTAATTTTCGTTTTTTAATTTTTTTTCCTCCCTCTAAATTCATTGTGTTGCCTCCATTCAAGCCCTTCTTACTTCTTGCCCATATTATTGCAAAATCCATCTAATGGTCTCCTTGCATTGAGTCTGACCCAAGGATTGGCAAATTGTGGCCACCTATTTTTGAAAAACAGAGTTTTGGTGGAACACAGTCATGTTCATTTGTTTATATATTGTCTGGCTGCTTTCTGGCTATAACAACAGAGTTGAGTAGTTGCAACAGAGACTATATGGCTTACAAATTATGAACTATTTACTACCTGCTTCTTCATAGGAAAAATTTGTTAAAAATTTGCACTAATCTTCTCCACAACCATAAAATGCAATCTGATTGAGACATGTTCCTCCATAAAACAGTGACTACTGGTACCTTCAGGATAAACTTTTTTGCATGCCTTACAACACCCTCCTTATCCCAGCCTCTTTCTGTCTCTAAAAGAAGAACTCCTCTTTTCTCACCTTAGGTCCTAGTTAACTTAAATTATTTTGGGGTACATGCTATTCTAGTTTTGTCTTTGTGCATATAATTCCCTCTAATTAAATTATCCTTCTTTCCATACTCATATCCAATTTTGGAAGTTATTTTCATCTTTTGAGAGCTCACTAAAGAAATAATTCTTTGGTAAAACCTTCCCAAACAAACTGTGTAGGCTTAATCACTAAAAGAGGAGATAAAAGACATAGTCTTTCTAAAAGAGTGATTGGGGTACCTTCTAATAGTATTAGTAATTATTCTAGTTAATATGCCAATACATGTCTTTTATTGCAATAATCATAGCTTTTCTTTAATGTGTGTTAGAAAAAAATAATTACAACTTCAAATCCAAGATATCATGGATATCCATGCTTAGGACAATCTAAGGTGAGTAGTTAAGTTTAAAAAGGCAGCCAATTGAACAAAAAATATTTTTAAAGAAAAACGCCACATGAATTTGGAAGGAAACATGAACCAACAGGAAACATTGCTGTAAGTAATAGGAACCATTAAAGTAGGGCTCTAGCCTGATAACCTGGATGTAGGGTTATACTGTGATCTGAACCAATGGAGTAGGAAATTGTGACATTTCATTCTTAATCTGCTCATTACACGATAGATGTTCATGAATTTGCCAAGCCCTCCTTCTGCCTGTAGGCAAATTACTCTGTCACTCAAGGTCCTGAAAGTCCAGTTTACTCCAAGTCTGGTAGTATTGAAGAAAGAAAGATGAAATGGGGAGATTTGGGGAAAATCTGAACCTGGTAGCTTCTTCCCTCACTGTTCCAGCCTCCTAATCCCCAGAGGTCTGACCTATAGTCAGTACCAGAGTGGGACCACACAGGTTGTCCTGATCCAGGAACCACTGTTAAAGGGGGGATTTGATGAACTAAAATTATGCCAGAGCTCCCTGGACAGTGGTTGTCATCATTCTCATACAGTAGTTATAGACATTTCTGCTACTTCCCAGAATGGTCTCTTTCTCTTCTAACAAGTGACAGGTATATATTCCACTGTCAAGGATCCAGGCTACACAGTCTCAGCTGCCTTTCAAAGTGGAAATCCCAAAGACTCTGGCTGCTGAATTTAAGACAAGAAGTTTTGATGTTTAAAGTTTAAAATAAGATATATTTTATAATTATCTCCTCTCTGCATAAAATAAAACATCCAAGCGTTTATATTAGAAACCATTAAGAGATCATTACAGGATAGAGAGTTTGACCTGTGAGTTTTGTTTTAGGACATTACATGCGGTTATTATCGAAGGAAGTCTGCACAGGAGAACCGAATATGCTCCCTAACAGTCTACCCATTATGTGCCTCTAATAATGTTACATACTCTAATGCCTGCATGTTCTGCTTCGCTAACATGTAAGTGAAAACACCAAACCCAAAACAGAACCCTCTTTTGAGAATCTAATGTGTAGCTGACTGATAACACTTCTACATATTTTGGAAAATCTGTGTGAACTCTTCAAGACGTGATTCTCTAAACTAAAAACAATGTCTCTGGAGTTTCAGTTCCACTGGCTGAACCCAAGGAGGGTGAGGGTCACAAGGGAGTCATCGAGATTCTGTCTCCTCCTTCCAGCTCCAGCGGAGAAGGCTCCCTTTATCTGTTTTGAACATTAGGTTCAATATGAGATGTTATGTAAGAAAAGGTTCTGTTCCTAAAATCTTTGAAAATTACAGCTGTAAGAAAAATCATCCTTTTCAGGACAAAACTAAAGCAACAATTCTCAGCACTCAGTCAGAAGACCTTGGGTTGAGTCCTGCCCCCATGATTTAGTGCTAATGGGAAGTCTCGTAACTCCCCCAAACCTCAGGTTCTTATCCACAAATCTGAGATTATATTTCCTGCTTCACTTGCTAAAGATGCTCTGACCACACTGACTCTTCTTTCCTGACATTTTCAAATATACAAAGCTCTTTCCTACTTCAAGAACTTTGGACAAACTGTCCTCTACAAAATGTTTTCCCCATTCTTTTCACAGGGCTAGCTCTTCTTCATCATTCAAGTTTCAGCCTAAATATTTCTTCCTTACAGATGCTTCTCCTGACCTACCGAAATCTACCTAAAATAGATTTATCTCTGATATTTTTCCATGTTAATACGCTTCCATTTCCTTCATAATTCTTATCATAATTCCCAGATATTTTGCTCTGTCTTTATTTTTGGCCCATCACCAAACCTAAGCTCCATGAAGTCAGAATGTAGGTTTGTGACTTATTCCTAGCACTTAACGTAGTGACTGGCACCAAGTAAGCAGCATAAGTATTTGTTGAATGAGTACATAAATGAGTTCTTGGGGGGAGTGAATTGATACTGGTATCAAAAACATTTTTAAACTTAAAGCATCCTTTATAGGTAATTTTTTAAAAACCATTACTTGTTGTATTGGCTCAATCTCTCAGAGTTGAGTGCTTGGTTAAGAGTGAAGGCTCGGATCTGATAGACTTGGAATGGAATTTCAGCTCTTCTGTTTAACTACATGACCTAGGACAGATAACTTCAGTAATTACCTGAGAGGTTGGCTGTGAGAATTGAAGAAGATAATACATAAAGGGGGCTTAGCACAATGCCTGTCACATAGTAGGTCCTTAGTATAAAATAGCCATAAATGCCCTTTTGAGTTGCTTTCAACTAGAGGACCGACCCTCTCCATTTGCCTGCAACTGAAGGTTCTCCTGGGATGTGAGACTTTGAGTGCTAAAAAAGGACAATCTCAGACAAACCAAAATAGTTGGTCACCCTACCATCAACATGCCTTCATATCTGGCCCATAGTTCTCTTTCCATATTTACCAACTCTTTCTTTCACTTAGACCTTATAACCTATGCCATAATTATCCTCAACTAGTACAATAATATCTTCCAGATCATCTCAAAGCCTCATCTCCTGGGCCTCAAATGTAGTGTCATGGTAATTCTATGGCACACTGAGGTTCCTTAAAGGGAAAAGAAACTGTACAGATGAGTGCTATTCCTCTCAAAATTATTATTAGCTCTCCACTTCCATCCTTTCTTCAAACTTACTGTCTATCCTCTTCCCTAGGATCCCAAGCTTTCAGGGAAATGAAAAATAACTTCTCAATGTTAAGAATTTATCCTTAAGGTTTTAAATTAAAAGCAGAGCAAATGATAAACTCATTCTTTAAAGTATACAATCCAGCGGTCTTTAGTACATTCACAGAGGTGTGCAACCATCACCACTACCTAATTTTAGAATAATTTTCATTAAAAATAAACCTGTATCCATTCTACCATCCCCCTAGTATCTGGAAACCACTAGTCTACTTTCTGTCTTTATGGATTTGCCTACTCTAGACAATCGATATAAATGGAATCATTCAACATGTGTTCTTTTGCTTCTGGCTTCTTTCACTCAGCATAAGGTTATCAAGGTTCATCCTTATTGTAGAATGTATTAATTCCTCATGCCTTTTTATGGCTGTGTAATATTCCATTGTACAGCTATTCTACATTGCTTTTATCTAGTTGTCCATTAATAGACATTGAGTTGTTTATACTTTTTGGCTTTTATGAATAATATTGCTATGACCATACATGAACAATGTTTTGTTTGGACATATCTTTTTATTTCTCTTGGACATATGCCTGAGAGTGTTGTTTCTGGATCATATAATAACTCTATGTTTAACATTTTGAGGGATTGCCAAACTGTTTTCCAAAGCAGCTGTAACAATTTACAATCCCATCAGCAACGTATGAGGTTCCAATTTCTCCACATCCTCACCAACACTTGTTATTGTCCATCTTTCTTATGATAACCATCCTAATGGGTGTGAAGTGGTATCTCTTGCTCATGATTTGCATTTCTCTAATAACAAATTATGTTTAATATCTTTTCATGGACTGATTAGCTATTTGTACATCTTCTTTGGATAAATGTCTATTCAAATCTTTTGCTCACTTTTTAATCAGATTATTTGCCTTTTTATTGTTGAGTTGTAAGAGTTCTTTATATACTCTGGACACAAGTTTCTTATCAGATATTGACTTGCAAATATTTTCTCCCATTCTGTGGGTCGTCTTTTCACTTTATTGATGATATCCTAAGAAGCACAAAAAAATTAATTTTAATGAAGTCCAATTTATCTATTGTTCATTGTGCTTTTGTTGTCATATCTAAGACACCATTGTTTAACCCAAGGTCACAGAGATTCACTCCTATGTTTTCTTCCACGAGTTTTATAATTTTAGCTCTTACACTTATGTCTTTGATCAATTTTGAGTTAATTTTTGTACATGGTATGAGGTGAGAGATCTAACTTCATTGTTTTGTATGTAGATATCCAATTGTCCTAGCACCATTTGTTGAAAACTATTCTTTATCCGTTGAATTATCTTAGCACTCTTATTGAAAATCAATTGGTGATAAATATAAAGGTTTAGTTTTGGACTCTAAATTCTGCTCCATTGCTCTATATGCATATCTTTCTTCCAGTACCACACTATCTTGATTACTGTAGATTTGCAGTAAGTTTTGAAATTAGGAAGGGTGGATTCTTCAACTTTGTTCTTTTTCAAATTGTTTTGGCTATTCTTGGTCCTATCCTTAGAAAGTATTAAAGGTATTGTCATAGAATAATGTACAGATTTGTCCATCATAATAGTTCTAAGAGTAACATACTAGGAAAAAATTAAATGTTCTAATAATGGATGATTGGTTTCAATAATGTATAATATATCTATAATTACTACTGCCTGGGAAACAGTTAGGGAAAGTAACCATGTCACTGTTTATGGTAATACTACACATATCAATGCTCCAAAGCCCTCTGACTTTACAGGCAAGAAATTTAGTATTTTCCAAGGCTTCCACGTCCCAATAGTTTTCAGCATTGCCAAAGACAATAGCAGGACTAGAGGGAAGTGCAGCATTCTCACATAAAATCTGCTCCTTTTCCCATTGTAGTACTGCCACTTAAATATCCTTGTCCATGCCTCTCGCTGATGTTTTGTACACCTATGTCCTACTGTAAATCTTCTTTCTGTCCCAGGCCAGTCGAGAAATCCATTCTGCTTCTCATGCTCAGCCATTTCAGAGAGAGTTCACACATGAGAATTATCTGAGCCCCCAACTTTCACATTTATCTTTTTTAGTCTGCAGTTGCTTCCTTCTCAGACTATCAAGGCATTCCAAATGTGCGGCAGGGCATGCTCATGACAAGATGACAGGGCCAAGCACATCTTTACACTAACAGCCCATGTCCTCCCTCCATCCTTCAGGCTTCAATTCAGGTTCTGCCTGGTACTTTGTTTCTGCATCCTGGGGCAGTCAGAGGTTGATCTTCTTGAGCACACCAAAAACCTCCAACTGAACGTTTTGCTTGAAGGCTCACCCTTTCAAAGTCACATATGATTAAAAAAAGAGATCCTACTAGACATTACATATTAAGTTTTCTAAGCATAATCATGACACCATGCTAAGTTAAAAAAAGGAAAGTATAAGGTTATAAAATGATGTATGCAGTATGATCAGACTTTTGAAAAATATATTTATTATATATACACAGAAATGTAAAATATTAAGGAGACTACATGATGAGGATATTTTGAAAACTTATAAATACATCTGACTTTAATTTAGTGCTCATTATATGCCAGGCACTGTGCTTGATGCTAATAGAAATGACCTCATTCAATATTAAAAACAATCCTGTGAAGTTGGTATTGGTATTAACTGCCATTTTATTGAAAATGAAATTGAAGCTCAGAGAAATTTAGGGACTTATCCAAGATATCATAGCTCATGAAGGAGAAACCAAGAAACAAGTGCAGGAATCTGACATCCAGAACCCTCAAGCTTAACTTCGCATTATCTTATCTCATGATTAGAATCTCATGTTTGGCTAGAGTTTTTAGGATTTTTCAAAACAATTTCTCATATTTATCCCTTTGTCCCATGAATGTTTAATGAACATTTTGTAAGTTGCAGACACTGTGCTGGGTTCAAGGAAAGCAAAGAAAAATAAATGAGAGCGAGAGAAAGAGAATAAGATACTATTACTCTCAGCCTATTCCTATAAATAATATGTGACCATAAGCCTGTTATAGCTCAGAAAGTTCTGTCTCAAACAGGGCACCTATGAGACCCATACCAATACTGCATGGAAGAGAGGACTGAGATTATTTCCTATTTACACATAAAAAGAAAAGACTCCAAAGTTAATTGCTTTCCTAATGTCCTATAGGAAGTATTTACAGAACATGAATAATGTTTTTATTATTTCAAAGTAGCTCTTATGTGGCTATTGTTAAATTTTTTAAAAACTGGACCACTTTTCCATGAAAAATGTAATAGCAAAAGTCCATTGACTGTAAGTTAGCACAAAATGTAGTAACTG